CCTTGATATCTGAGTAGGGTCAGTGTACAGTCGTATTCGTGTCTTGGCTTTAACCTTGATATCTGAGTAGGGTCAGTGTACAGTCGTATTCGTGTCTTGGCTTTAACCTTGATATCTGAGTAGGGTCAGTGTACAGTCGTATTCGTGTCTTGGCTTTAACCTTGATATCTGAGTAGGGTCAGTGTACAGTCGTATTCGTGTCTTGGCTTTAACCTTGATATCTGAGTAGGGTCAGTGTACAGTCGTATTCGTGTCTTGGCTTTAACCTTGATATCTGAGTAGGGTCAGTGTACAGTCGTATTCGTGTCTTGGCTTTAACCTTGATATCTGAGTAGGGTCAGTGTACAGTCGTATTCGTGTCTTGGCTTTAACCTTGATATCTGAGTAGGGTCAGTGTACAGTCGTATTCGTGTCTTGGCTTTAACCTTGATATCTGAGTAGGGTCAGTGTACAGTCGTATTCGTGTCTTGGCTTTAACCTTGATATCTGAGTAGGGTCAGTGTACAGTCGTATTCGTGTCTTGGCTTTAACCTTGATATCTGAGTAGGGTCAGTGTACAGTCGTATTCGTGTCTTGGCTTTAACCTTGATATCTGAGTAGGGTCAGTGTACAGTCGTATTCGTGTCTTGGCTTTAACCTTGATATCTGAGTAGGGTCAGTGTACAGTCGTATTCGTGTCTTGGCTTTAACCTTGATATCTGAGTAGGGTCAGTGTACAGTCGTATTCGTGTCTTGGCTTTAACCTTGATATCTGAGTAGGGTCAGTGTACAGTCGTATTCGTGTCTTGGCTTTAACCTTGATATCTGAGTAGGGTCAGTGTACAGTCGTATTCGTGTCTTGGCTTTAACCTTGATATCTGAGTAGGGTCAGTGTACAGTCGTATTCGTGTCTTGGCTTTAACCTTGATATCTGAGTAGGGTCAGTGTACAGTCGTATTCGTGTCTTGGCTTTAACCTTGATATCTGAGTAGGGTCAGTGTACAGTCGTATTCGTGTCTTGGCTTTAACCTTGATATCTGAGTAGGGTCAGTGTACAGTCGTATTCGTGTCTTGGCTTTAACCTTGATATCTGAGTAGGGTCAGTGTACAGTCGTATTCGTGTCTTGGCTTTAACCTTGATATCTGAGTAGGGTCAGTGTACAGTCGTATTCGTGTCTTGGCTTTAACCTTGATATCTGAGTAGGGTCAGTGTACAGTCGTATTCGTGTCTTGGCTTTAACCTTGATATCTGAGTAGGGTCAGTGTACAGTCGTATTCGTGTCTTGGCTTTAACCTTGATATCTGAGTAGGGTCAGTGTACAGTCGTATTCGTGTCTTGGCTTTAACCTTGATATCTGAGTAGGGTCAGTGTACAGTCGTATTCGTGTCTTGGCTTTAACCTTGATATCTGAGTAGGGTCAGTGTACAGTCGTATTCGTGTCTTGGCTTTAACCTTGATATCTGAGTAGGGTCAGTGTACAGTCGTATTCGTGTCTTGGCTTTAACCTTGATATCTGAGTAGGGTCAGTGTACAGTCGTATTCGTGTCTTGGCTTTAACCTTGATATCTGAGTAGGGTCAGTGTACAGTCGTATTCGTGTCTTGGCTTTAACCTTGATATCTGAGTAGGGTCAGTGTACAGTCGTATTCGTGTCTTGGCTTTAACCTTGATATCTGAGTAGGGTCAGTGTACAGTCGTATTCGTGTCTTGGCTTTAACCTTGATATCTGAGTAGGGTCAGTGTACAGTCGTATTCGTGTCTTGGCTTTAACCTTGATATCTGAGTAGGGTCAGTGTACAGTCGTATTCGTGTCTTGGCTTTAACCTTGATATCTGAGTAGGGTCAGTGTACAGTCGTATTCGTGTCTTGGCTTTAACCTTGATATCTGAGTAGGGTCAGTGTACAGTCGTATTCGTGTCTTGGCTTTAACCTTGATATCTGAGTAGGGTCAGTGTACAGTCGTATTCGTGTCTTGGCTTTAACCTTGATATCTGAGTAGGGTCAGTGTACAGTCGTATTCGTGTCTTGGCTTTAACCTTGATATCTGAGTAGGGTCAGTGTACAGTCGTATTCGTGTCTTGGCTTTAACCTTGATATCTGAGTAGGGTCAGTGTACAGTCGTATTCGTGTCTTGGCTTTAACCTTGATATCTGAGTAGGGTCAGTGTACAGTCGTATTCGTGTCTTGGCTTTAACCTTGATATCTGAGTAGGGTCAGTGTACAGTCGTATTCGTGTCTTGGCTTTAACCTTGATATCTGAGTAGGGTCAGTGTACAGTCGTATTCGTGTCTTGGCTTTAACCTTGATATCTGAGTAGGGTCAGTGTACAGTCGTATTCGTGTCTTGGCTTTAACCTTGATATCTGAGTAGGGTCAGTGTACAGTCGTATTCGTGTCTTGGCTTTAACCTTGATATCTGAGTAGGGTCAGTGTACAGTCGTATTCGTGTCTTGGCTTTAACCTTGATATCTGAGTAGGGTCAGTGTACAGTCGTATTCGTGTCTTGGCTTTAACCTTGATATCTGAGTAGGGTCAGTGTACAGTCGTATTCGTGTCTTGGCTTTAACCTTGATATCTGAGTAGGGTCAGTGTACAGTCGTATTCGTGTCTTGGCTTTAACCTTGATATCTGAGTAGGGTCAGTGTACAGTCGTATTCGTGTCTTGGCTTTAACCTTGATATCTGAGTAGGGTCAGTGTACAGTCGTATTCGTGTCTTGGCTTTAACCTTGATATCTGAGTAGGGTCAGTGTACAGTCGTATTCGTGTCTTGGCTTTAACCTTGATATCTGAGTAGGGTCAGTGTACAGTCGTATTCGTGTCTTGGCTTTAACCTTGATATCTGAGTAGGGTCAGTGTACAGTCGTATTCGTGTCTTGGCTTTAACCTTGATATCTGAGTAGGGTCAGTGTACAGTCGTATTCGTGTCTTGGCTTTAACCTTGATATCTGAGTAGGGTCAGTGTACAGTCGTATTCGTGTCTTGGCTTTAACCTTGATATCTGAGTAGGGTCAGTGTACAGTCGTATTCGTGTCTTGGCTTTAACCTTGATATCTGAGTAGGGTCAGTGTACAGTCGTATTCGTGTCTTGGCTTTAACCTTGATATCTGAGTAGGGTCAGTGTACAGTCGTATTCGTGTCTTGGCTTTAACCTTGATATCTGAGTAGGGTCAGTGTACAGTCGTATTCGTGTCTTGGCTTTAACCTTGATATCTGAGTAGGGTCAGTGTACAGTCGTATTCGTGTCTTGGCTTTAACCTTGATATCTGAGTAGGGTCAGTGTACAGTCGTATTCGTGTCTTGGCTTTAACCTTGATATCTGAGTAGGGTCAGTGTACAGTCGTATTCGTGTCTTGGCTTTAACCTTGATATCTGAGTAGGGTCAGTGTACAGTCGTATTCGTGTCTTGGCTTTAACCTTGATATCTGAGTAGGGTCAGTGTACAGTCGTATTCGTGTCTTGGCTTTAACCTTGATATCTGAGTAGGGTCAGTGTACAGTCGTATTCGTGTCTTGGCTTTAACCTTGATATCTGAGTAGGGTCAGTGTACAGTCGTATTCGTGTCTTGGCTTTAACCTTGATATCTGAGTAGGGTCAGTGTACAGTCGTATTCGTGTCTTGGCTTTAACCTTGATATCTGAGTAGGGTCAGTGTACAGTCGTATTCGTGTCTTGGCTTTAACCTTGATATCTGAGTAGGGTCAGTGTACAGTCGTATTCGTGTCTTGGCTTTAACCTTGATATCTGAGTAGGGTCAGTGTACAGTCGTATTCGTGTCTTGGCTTTAACCTTGATATCTGAGTAGGGTCAGTGTACAGTCGTATTCGTGTCTTGGCTTTAACCTTGATATCTGAGTAGGGTCAGTGTACAGTCGTATTCGTGTCTTGGCTTTAACCTTGATATCTGAGTAGGGTCAGTGTACAGTCGTATTCGTGTCTTGGCTTTAACCTTGATATCTGAGTAGGGTCAGTGTACAGTCGTATTCGTGTCTTGGCTTTAACCTTGATATCTGAGTAGGGTCAGTGTACAGTCGTATTCGTGTCTTGGCTTTAACCTTGATATCTGAGTAGGGTCAGTGTACAGTCGTATTCGTGTCTTGGCTTTAACCTTGATATCTGAGTAGGGTCAGTGTACAGTCGTATTCGTGTCTTGGCTTTAACCTTGATATCTGAGTAGGGTCAGTGTACAGTCGTATTCGTGTCTTGGCTTTAACCTTGATATCTGAGTAGGGTCAGTGTACAGTCGTATTCGTGTCTTGGCTTTAACCTTGATATCTGAGTAGGGTCAGTGTACAGTCGTATTCGTGTCTTGGCTTTAACCTTGATATCTGAGTAGGGTCAGTGTACAGTCGTATTACTGTCTTGGCTTTAACCTTGACATCTGAGTAGGGTCAGTGTACAGTTGTATTCGTTTCTTGGCTTTAACCTTGATATCTGAGTAGGGTCAGTGTACAGTTGTAATCGTGTCTTGGCTTAACCTTGATATCTGAGTAGGGGCAGTGTACAGTTGTATTCGTGTCTTGGCTTTAACCTTGACATCTGAGGAGGGTCAGTGTACAGTTGTATTCGTGCCATGGCTTTAACCTTGATATCTGAGTAGGGTCAGTGTACAGTCGTATTGGTGTCTTGGCTTTAACCTTGATATCTAAGTGTCTATACTTATTTTATACTTGTTAACTGTTCCTTGCATAGATGTCGGCCTACAAACTTTCCTGGATACGACAGAAGACGTATTCTGTTAAGGTGTCCCTTGTTTTTCCTTAGGTTTTATGTGGTGAATCTATCCTATCTTTACATTCTTTCTCCTTGTTTGGTTCTTGTCCTGGTGTACTGAGGACATGGTGCATTATTTTACTGTTTGGGGCTTGTCCTCACGTGCTGGGGACATGGTGCATTATTGTACTGATTTAAGTGTTCGGGGTTTGTCCTTGTGGTACTGTAGTCTTCTTTTATTCAATAACAACCTCATTTGCTCATATTGCCAGGAAGTCGCTAATTTATATTAAAATAGATCATGAAATAGATACTGATTTCTTGTTGTTTAATGTCAAGTGTTGCTTGATCAAGGGGCTAACTGGACGTTCTATAGGTCGGGGAGGGTCACTAGAATCAACTTCTGGATACAGAAAACAACGGAGATGAAATATCATTGGGTATTTGGAATAAATATAATCCGATAACAGACATCATATTATCAAAATAGAAATGTAAAATAACATCATGCTTGATTTGGCAATATTAATATATGCAGAAAAATCTCAAACTTCAGTTTATATGAATTACCATAAAACATAACGGTGTTAAAGCCTTATAACACAGAGTTGTTATAATTCCTCACCAAATTGGTTCAAAATCTTTACTGCATGCAAAATCCTGGTATTCATTAATACACATTAAGAATATTGCACTGTCTATTTACCCAGACATTGAGGAAATAGAATATATATACTTGCTGACCACTACCTATCCAGTTTCTGTTGGTCTTTAACATTGTTTTCTGCCAGTGTAACCAGAGTGACCTTCAGAAATGTTCCCATCCACATATCATCTGGCCATCGATCCATCTGCCTCATGTCAATTCCGTTTGAACAGTACACAAAATACTCAAAAAATCTGTCTTAAAGTTTTCAGCAGTGTTTGATGGAAATAATGCATGTCTTGTCTCTTTTAAATAAAACCCCTGATTGCTGGCAGCTTTTTCTTTACATGATGTGATGGGGATTTGTGCTAAGATAATAAAACGTTGACGGCTCTAAAGCTTTCTTTTATATTTGTTTTTTGGCACTTTGACCTTTGACATATTAACCAAGTTGTATTAGGTCACAAAAGAATTATAAACAGAAATGAAGTAGTGACTTGCATGATGTTCGTACATCATGCTTATGCCCTTTTTGAGGCAGAACAGTGCAGTTTTCGTTCCGCCCCGTTCCAGGTTGTGTAACAGCGGGTGTGATAAGTCAAATAGACTATAAATAATAGGAATGGCGAAGTAATATTGACAAAACTATGATGATGGATTACAGCAGACTACAGTACAGAGTATTTCTAACAGCAATATGGCAATTCTGTCCACTGGATTTTTGATGACTTCCTTGTCATCAACATGGCCATTGCGATCTCGCAACCATGGCGAACCCAGTTTAGATGGATGGCACAGTGCCGTGATGTCGTGTCGAGGTTAGGGGAAACACTGAGATGGTGAAGTGTCTGGTACACCCTTCTCTAGTGTCCTTTCAGTCATTTACCGTAGCAACATCAAGACAAATGCTATTTTAAATAGTCCGTCTCTCCAGGTGTTTTGTGTCATGTGGCTTGGGTAATTTTCATTTCCATGGTAACAGTTTCTTCAGATGTGTTTTTTTGCTGGCTTCCATCCTGTCCAACTTCTTGAGTACCGGTGTGCTGAACCTTGCTTAATCGGACAACCTCTTCTGATAGCATCTCCAGATCCTATTCAAGAAATGAAAAATTAACACTTAAATGAGGGAAACAAATTAATGGATAAAATACAATTTATTTTCTAAAAGCAACAAGATGAGTGATGGCCACAGCATGTCGACTCCTCTGACAGGAAGGTCCTAGTGCTAGGGACTTCATCAGCAATATGTCCATCTTTCTGATCAATGATAATCTAAACAACAGAATCAACACAACAATACTAACTCATTAACCCATAAAGACACATTTGAACTCTTCCAATTCAAAGGTTGGAATAGGTCATTATGAAATTTCAGGGGTGAAAGAGTTAATACTGCTAATAGGGATGCTAATATCAATAACATTGGCCTATATTTTTTTATCTCACACACAAAATACCAATATTCAATACTGCTGACACAGAAGTCATTACTGACAACAGACCTCAACACTGATATCTCAGAGGACACCGGGCTCATGACTGAAGGGTGGCGGTTCAAGTCATGTCACAGCATTGTGTTATATATTTGAGCAAGCAACTTTACTCCACTAGTTCCAGTCTACTAAGCTGTAAATGAGTATATGGTTGGGCAGTGATAGAGTTGTTGAAAGCTAGCTGTGAGCGCTGAGATGGCAGCACCGGCTGTATGCTCCCCAGGAAGTTGAAAAAGATATTGGTGGGTCGCAAAGGCCCTATAAGCACGTATAATAATTTGTAACCGTACATTTGGCTTTGTTTATAGCCGGATGATTCAACCTTCTTAGTTAGTTCCCACCAGTGTAGAGTCAGTGTAGATTTCCCATGCGAAGACATTGTTAAGATAACCAATGTCAAATTATTGAAAGGAATAAGTATCCCTGACAAAGTCAGAGTATGGGCAGGTCTAGATATCCCTGACAAAGTCAGTGTATGGACAGGTCTAGATAGCCCTGACAAATAAGTCAGTGTATGGACAGGTCTAGAAATCCCTGACAAAGTAAATGTATGGACAGGACTAGATATCCCGGACAAAGTAAATGTATAAACAGGTCTAAATATCCCTGGCAAAGTAAATGTATAAACAGGTCTAAATATCCCTGGCAAAGTCAAGGTATGAACAAGTCTATAGATATCCCTGACAAAGTAAATGTATAAACAGGTCTAAATATCCCGGACAAAGTCAGTATATGGACAGGTCTAGATATCCCTGACAAAGTAAATGTATGGACAGGACTAGATATCCCTGACAAAGTCAGTATATGGACAGGTCTAAATATCCCTGACAAAGTATATGTATGGACAGGACTAGATATCCCTGACAAAGTCAGTATATGGACAGGTCTAGATATCCCTGACAAAGTCAGTATATGGACAGGTCTAAATATCCCTGACAAAGTCAAGGTTATGGACAGGTCTAGATATCCATGACAAAGTCAAGAAATGGACAGGACTAGATATCCCTGGCTAAGTAAATGTATTGACAAGTCTTGATATCCCTGACAAAGTCAAGGAATTGACACGACTAGATATCCCTGGCAAAGTAAATGTATTGACAAGTCTAGATATCTCTGACAAAGTCAAGGATTGGACAGGACTAGATATCCCTGGCTAAATAAATGTATTGACAAGTCTTGATATCCCTGACAAAGCACAGGTATGGAAAGGACTAGATATCCCTGGCAAAGTAAATGTATGGAGAAGTCTAGATATCTCTGACAAAGTCAATGAATGGACATGACTAGATATCCCTGGCAATGTAAATGTATTGACAGGAATAGATATCCCTGGCAAAGTAAATGTATGGACAAGTCTAGATATCTCTGACAAAGTCAATGAATGGACATGACTAGATATCCCTGGTAAAGTAAATGAATGGACATGACTAGATATCCCTAGTAAAGTAAATGTATGGACAGGAATAGATATCCCTGGCAAAGTAAATGTATTGACAAGTCTTGATATCCCTGGTAAAGTATTGCTTTGACATGACTAGATATCCCTGACTAAGTCAAGGAATGGAAAGGACTAGATATCCCTGACAAAGTCAGTGTATGGACATGACTAGATTAAACTTTCAAAGTCAGTGTACCGACAGTTGTAGATATCAATGACATAGTAAAGGAAGGGACAAGAATAATAGACTTCCCAGACAAAGTCAAAGTATCAGTGGCGGATCCTGAGAGGAGTTTTGGGCTTCAGGAAACCCACCCAGCCTGAGAATTTTCTTTAAAAATCATGTATTTTCACCATTTTCCTCAATTTATCCCCACATGGAAACCTCCCCTGGAAATTTGAAAAAAAACCCAGATAGGTCTCTGGATCCACCACTGGGTAAGGAAAGAACAATAGATAATCCTTACAAAGTCAAGGTATGGAAAGAACAATAGATAATCCTTACAAGGTCAAGGTATGAAAAGAACAATAGATAATCCTTACAAAGTCAAGTTAGGAAAAGAACAATAGATAATCCTTTCAAAGTCAAGGTATGGAAAGAACAATAGATAATCCTTACAAGGTCAAGTTATGAAAGAACAATAGATAATCCTTACAAGGTCAAGGTATAAAAGAACAATAGATAATCCTTACAAAGTCAAGGTATGAAAAGAACAATAGATAATCCTTACAAAGTCAAGGTATGGAAAGAACAATAGATAATCCTTACAATGTCAAGGTATGGAAAGAACAATAGATAATCCTTACAATGTCAAGGTATGGAAAGAACAATAGATAATCCTTACAAAGTCAAGTTAGGAAAAGAACAATAGATAATCCTTACAAGGTCAAGTTATGAAAGAACAATAGATAATCCTTACAAGGTCAAGGTATAAAAACAACAATAGATAATCATTACAAGGTCAAGGTATGGAAAGAACAATAGATAATCCTTACAATGTCAAGGTATGGAAAGAACAATAGATAATCCTTACAATGTCAAGGTATGGAAAGAACAATAGATAATCCTTACAATGTCAAGGTATGGAAAGAACAATAGATAATCCTTACAAAGTCAAGGTATGGAAAGAACAATAGATAATCCTTACAATGTCAAGGTATGGAAAGAACAATAGATAATCCTTACAAAGTCAAGGTATGGAAAGACCAATAGATAATCCTTACAAGGTCAAGGTATGGAAAGAACAATAGATAATCCTTAGAAGGTCAAGTTATGAAAGAACAATAGATAATCCTTACAACGTCAAGGTATGAAAAGAACAATAGATAATCCTTACAAAGCCAAGGTATGAAAAGAACAATAGATAATCCTTACAAAGCCAAGGTATGAAAAGAACAATAGATAATCCTTACAAAGTCAAGTTAGGAAAAGAACAATAGATAATCCTTTCAAAGTCAAGGTATGGAAAGAACAATAGATAATCCTTACAAAGCCAAGTTAGGAAAAGAACAATAGATAATCCTTACAAGGTCAAGTTATGAAAGAACAATAGATAATCCTTACAAAGTCAAGGTATGAAAAGAACAATAGATAATCCTTACAAAGCCAAGGTATGAAAAGAACAATAGATAATCCTTACAAGGTCAAGGTATAAAAAGAACAATAGATAATCATTACAAGGTCAAGGTATGGAAAGAACAATAGATAATCCTTACAAGGTCAAGGTATGAAAAGAACAATAGATTATCTTAATACAAGGTCAAGGTATGAAAAGAACAATAGGAATCCCTGACAAGGTCAAGGCTCAGGACAATAGATAATCCTTACAAGGTCAAGGTATGAAAAGAACAAAAGATAATCCTTACAAGGTCAAGGTATGAAAAGAACAAAAGATAATCCTTACAAGGTCAAGGTATAAAAACAACAATAGATAATCATTACAAGGTCAAGGTATGGAAAGAACAATAGATAATCCTTAGAAGGTCAAGTTATGAAAGAACAATAGATAATCCTTACAAAGTCAAGGTATGAAAAGAACAATAGAAAATCCTTACAAGGTCAAGGTATGAAAAGAACAAAAGATAATCCTGACAAGGTCAAGGTATGAAAAGAACAATAGATTATCTTAATACAAGGTCAAGGTATGAAAAGAACAAAAGATAATCCTTACAAGGTCAAGGTATGAAAAGAACAAAAGATAATCCTGACAAGGTCAAGGTATGAAAAGAACAATAGATAATCTTACAAGGTCAAGGTATGAAAAGAACAAAAGATAATCCTGACAAGGTCAAGGTATGAAAAGAACAATAGATTATCTTAATACAAGGTCAAGGTATGAAAAGAACAAAAGATAATCCTGACAAGGTCAAGGTATGAAAAGAACAATAGATTATCCTAATACAAGGTCAAGGTATGAAAAGAACCATAGATAATCCTTACAAGGTCAAGTTATGAAAGAACAATAGATAATCCTTACAAAGTCAAGGAATGAAAAGAACAATAGATAATCCTTACAAAGTCAAGTTAGGAAAAGAACAATAGATAATCCTTACAAAGCCAAGGTATGAAAAGAACAATAGATAATCTTACAAGGTCAAGGTATGAAAAGAACAATAGGGATCCCTGACAAGGTCAAGGCTCAGGACAATAGATAATCCTTACAAGGTCAAGGTATGAAAAGAACAAAAGATAATCCTGACAAGGTCAAGGTATGAAAAGAACAATAGGAATCCCTGACAAGGTCAAGGCTCAGGACAATAGATAATCCTTACAAGGTCAAGGTATGGAAAGAACAATAAATAATCCTTACAAAGTCAAGGTATGAAAAGAACAATAGAAAATCCTTACAAGGTCAAGGTATGAAAAGAACAAAAGATAATCCTTACAAGGTCAAGGTATGAAACGAACAATAGATAATCCTAATACAAGGTCAAGGTATGAAAAGAACAATAGATTATCTTAATACAAGGTCAAGGTATGAAAAGAACAAAAGATAATCCTGACAAGGTCAAGGTATGAAAAGAACAATAGGTATCCCTGACAAGGTCAAGGCTCAGGACAATAGATAATCCTTACAAGGTCAAGGTATGAAAAGAACAATAGGTATCCCTGACAAGGTCAAGGCTCAGGACATAATTGAAATGGAGAAGTGTATAGCCA